TGCCGTGACTCAAAAGTCGCAACGGCGCCCGGCACAAGGCCGGTGCCGTGACTCAAAAGTCGCAACGGCGCCCGGCACAAGGCCGGTGCCGTGACTCAAAAGTCACAACGGCGCCCGCCCCGGCACCGCCAAGGCGCCGGCACAAGGCCGGTGCCGTGACTCAAAAGTCACAACGGCGCCCGGCACAAGGCCGGTGCCGTGACTCAAAAGTCGCAACGGCGCCCGGCACAAGGCCGGTGCCGTGACTCAAAAGTCACAACGGCGCCCGGCACAAGGCCGGTGCCGTGACTCAAAAGTCGCAACGGCGCCCGGCACAAGGCCGGTGCCGTGACTCAAAAGTCACAACGGCGCCCGGCACAAGGCCGGTGCCGTGACTCAAAAGTCACAACGGCGCCCGGCACAAGGCCGGTGCCGTGACTCAAAAGTCGCAACGGCGCCCGGCACAAGGCCGGTGCCGTGACTCAAAAGTCGCAACGGCGCCCAGCACAAGGCCGGTGCCGTGACTCAAAAGTCGCAACGGCGCCCGGCACAAGGCCGGTGCTGTGACTCAAAAGTCACAACGGCGCCCGGCACAAGGCCGGTGCCGTGACTCAAAAGTCGCAACGGCGCCCGGCACAAGGCCGGTGCCGTGACTCAAAAGTCGCAACGGCGCCCGGCACAAGGCCGGTGCCGTGACTCAAAAGTCACAACGGCGCCCGGCACAAGGCCGGTGCCGTGACTCAAAAGTCACAACGGCGCCCGGCACAAGGCCCGTGCCGTGACTCAAAAGTCACAACGGCGCCCGGCACAAGGCCGGGGCCGTGACTCAAAAGTCACAACGGCGCCCGGCACAAGGCCGGTGCCGTGACTCAAAAGTCACAACGGCGCCCGGCACAAGGCCGGTGCCGTGACTCAAAAGTCGCAACGGCGCCCGGCACAAGGCCGGTGCCGTGACTCAAAAGTCACAACGGCGCCCGGCACAAGGCCGGTGCCGTGACTCAAAAGTCCCAACGGCGCCCGGCACAAGGCCGGTGCCGTGACTCAAAAGTCACAACGGCGCCCGGCACAAGGCCGGTGCCGTGACTCAAAAGTCACAACGGCGCCCGGCACAAGGCCGGTGCCGTGACTCAAAAGTCACAACGGCGCCCGGCACAAGGCCGGTGCCGTGACTCAAAAGTCGCAACGGCGCCCGGCACAAGGCCGGTGCCGTGACTCAAAAGTCACAACGGCGCCCGGCACAAGGCCGGTGCCGTGACTCAAAAGTCGCAACGGCGCCCGGCACAAGGCCGGTGCCGTGACTCAAAAGTCACAACGGCGCCCGGCACAAGGCCGGTGCCGTGACTCAAAAGTCGCAACGGCGCCCGGCACAAGGCCGGTGCCGTGACTCAAAAGTCGCAACGGCGCCCGGCACAAGGCCGGTGCCGTGACTCAAAAGTCACAACGGCGCCCGGCACAAGGCCGGTGCCGTGACTCAAAAGTCACAACGGCGCCTGGCACAAGGCCGGTGCCGTGACTCAAAAGTCACAACGGCGCCCGGCACAAGGCCGGTGCCGTGACTCAAAAGTCACAACGGCGCCCGGCACAAGGCCGGTGCCGTGACTCAAAAGTCACAACGGCGCCCGGCACAAGGCCGGTGCCGTGACTCAAAAGTCGCAACGGCACCCGGCACAAGGCCGGTGCCGTGACTCAAAAGTCACAACGGCGCCCGGCACAAGGCCGGTGCCGTGACTCAAAAGTCCCAACGGCGCCCGGCACAAGGCCGGTGCCGTGACTCAAAAGTCACAACGGCGCCCGGCACAAGGCCGGTGCCGTGACTCAAAAGTCGCAACGGCGCCCGGCACAAGGCCGGTGCCGTGACTCAAAAGTCACAATGGCGCCCGGCACGAGGCTGGTGCCGTGACTCAAAAGTCACAACGGCGCCCGGCACAAGGCCGGTGCCGTGACTCAAAAGTCGCAACGGCGCCCGGCACAAGGCCGGTGCCGTGACTCAAAAGTCACAACGGCGCCCGGCACAAGGCCGGTGCCGTGACTCAAAAGTCGCAACGGCGCCCGGCACAAGGCCGGTGCCGTGACTCAAAAGTCACAACGGCGCCCGGCACAAGGCCGGTGCCGTGACTCAAAAGTCACAACGGCGCCCGGCACAAGGCCGGGGCCGTGACTCAAAAGTCACAACGGCGCCCGGCACAAGGCCGGTGCCGTGACTCAAAAGTCACAACGGCGCCCGGCACAAGGCCGGTGCCGTGACTCAAAAGTCGCAACGGCGCCCGGCACAAGGCCGGTGCCGTGACTCAAAAGTCACAACGGCGCCCGGCACAAGGCCGGTGCCGTGACTCAAAAGTCCCAACGGCGCCCGGCACAAGGCCGGTGCCGTGACTCAAAAGTCACAACGGCGCCCGGCACAAGGCCGGTGCCGTGACTCAAAAGTCACAACGGCGCCCGGCACAAGGCCGGTGCCGTGACTCAAAAGTCACAACGGCGCCCGGCACAAGGCCGGTGCCATGACTCAAAAGTCGCAACGGCGCCCGGCACAAGGCCGGTGCCGTGACTCAAAAGTCACAACGGCGCCCGGCACAAGGCCGGTGCCGTGACTCAAAAGTCGCAACGGCGCCCGGCACAAGGCCGGTGCCGTGACTCAAAAGTCACAACGGCGCCCGGCACAAGGCCGGTGCCGTGACTCAAAAGTCGCAACGGCGCCCGGCACAAGGCCGGTGCCGTGACTCAAAAGTCACAACGGCGCCCGGCACAAGGCCGGTGCCGTGACTCAAAAGTCACAACGGCGCCCGGCACAAGGCCGGTGCCGTGACTCAAAAGTCGCAACGGCGCCCGGCACAAGGCCGGTGCCGTGACTCAAAAGTCACAACGGCGCCCGGCACAAGGCCGGTGCCGTGACTCAAAAGTCGCAACGGCGCCCGGCACAAGGCCGGTGCCGTGACTCAAAAGTCACAACGGCGCCCGGCACAAGGCCGGTGCCGTGACTCAAAAGTCACAACGGCGCCCGGCACAAGGCCGGTGCCGTGACTCAAAAGTCACAACGGCGCCCGGCACAAGGCCGGTGCCGTGACTCAAAAGTCACAACGGCGCCCGGCACAAGGCCGGTGCCGTGACTCAAAAGTCGCAACGGCGCCCGGCACAAGGCCGGTGCCGTGACTCAAAAGTCACAACGGCGCCCGGCACAAGGCCGGTGCCGTGACTCAAAAGTCGCAACGGCGCCCGGCACAAGGCCGGTGCCGTGACTCAAAAGTCACAACGGCGCCCGGCACAAGGCCGGTGCCGTGACTCAAAAGTCGCAACGGCGCCCGGCACAAGGCCGGTGCCGTGACTCAAAAGTCACAACGGCGCCCGGCACAAGGCCGGTGCCGTGACTCAAAAGTCACAACGGCGCCCGGCACAAGGCCGGTGCCGTGACTCAAAAGTCACAACGGCGCCCGGCACAAGGCCGGTGCCGTGACTCAAAAGTCGCAACGGCGCCCGGCACAAGGCCGGTGCCGTGACTCAAAAGTCGCAACGGCGCCCGGCACAAGGCCGGTGCCGTGACTCAAAAGTCACAACGGCGCCCGGCACAAGGCCGGTGCCGTGACTCAAAAGTCACAACGGCGCCCGGCACAAGGCCGGTGCCGTGACTCAAAAGTCACAACGGCGCCCGGCACAAGGCCGTTGCCGTGACTCAAAAGTCACAACGGCGCCCGGCACAAGGCCGGTGCCGTGACTCAAAAGTCACAACGGCGCCCGGCACAAGGCCGGTGCCGTGACTCAAAAGTCGCAACGGCACCCGGCACAAGGCCGGTGCCGTGACTCAAAAGTCACAACGGCGCCCGGCACAAGGCCGGTGCCGTGACTCAAAAGTCCCAACGGCGCCCGGCACAAGGCCGGTGCCGTGACTCAAAAGTCACAACGGCGCCCGGCACAAGGCCGGTGCCGTGACTCAAAAGTCGCAACGGCGCCCGGCACAAGGCCGGTGCCGTGACTCAAAAGTCACAATGGCGCCCGGCACGAGGCTGGTGCCGTGACTCAAAAGTCACAACGGCGCCCGGCACAAGGCCGGTGCCGTGACTCAAAAGTCACAACGGCGCCCGGCACGAGGCTGGTGCCGTGACTCAAAAGTCACAGTGGGGGGAAAAAGGATGAGAGGCACGAGATGGAGTTGCCAACGGAGCCCAGCACGAGGCTGGAGCCGTGAGCACAGGAGAGATAGAAACAGCGTGCCTTGGAAGAAGGGGTTGAGTGGGGGGGAGGGGGGGGGAGCATGAGAGGCACGAGATGGAGTTGCCAACGGAGCCCAGCACGAGGCCTGACGCACACGTGGCCACGGGAAACACGGAGGCAGCAGGTGAGGTTAGAGCAGCGGTCTATCTTTTAGGCGCCTCAAAGATAGGCTCCGCACACGTGGCCACGGGAAACACGGAGGCAGTGCGGTCAGAGCAGTGGCAACGGCGGGGTGGGGGGGGGAGGGCGAGAGAAGGATGGGGAAGGGAGGGAAGAAATGAGGGCCGGCGGAAGGATGACGGAGGGAGAGACGGAGTAGGGGACGGAGGAAGGTTGAGGGGGGAAGAAAGTGGTGCTGGAAGGGGGCTTGAAAAAAAGCATGAGGGGGATGGAGGGGGGGACCGCGGCGGGAGGTGTGGGGCGAGCGAGAAGGTGGGGGGATTGGAGAAGCAGGCGTGGAGAAACACCTGTAGGGACAGCTGCAGCGACGCCAGTAGGGACAGCAGTAGGGACAGCTGTAGCGACGGCAGTAGGGACAGCAGTGGGGACAGCAGTAGGGACAGCTGTAGCGACGGCAGTAGGTAAAGCAGTAGGGACAGCAGTAGGGACAGCTGTAGCGGCAGCTGTAGCGACGGCAGTAGCGACGGCAGTAGGGACAGCTGTAGCGAAGGCAGTAGGGACAGCTGTAGGGACAGCTGTAGCGACGGCAGTAGGGACAGCTGTAGCGACGGCTGTAGGGACAGGTGTAGAGGAAGCAAAGGTGCAGTACGGGAAGCAACGGCACATAGCAGCGACGGCGTGTAACAGCAATGACGCACCTATTAGCAGGGCGGCACTTCCCTCGTGGATGTAGTACACCTTGCGACGTCTCAAAATGTGTCCGACGACGAATGCGACCATGAGCATCGCGATCTGCAGCAGAATCGACAGGCTCGCGAACGCCTCCGCCTTCGTCGCGGACTCCGGGGGAGCTGGCGCGCCCGCCATGGCGGAAGCGTTGGCGGAAGCGGAAGCGGAAGGCGCAGAGGCGGGGTGTGCGGAAGCGAATAGGGGGAACTCCTTCATCTGACGCGTGGAGTCGAGCAGGGGAAGGCCGAGCACACCATTGGCGCCAAGATCAACGGTGGGATCGGTATTTGGAACGGCCAGGAACAACATCGACGGTGGGGATCGCAAGACGCGGCGGAAAATAAAGCTGGTCTAGCGGCGATCTTCGTGAAATACACGCTCCATGCAGTGGTAGTATCTAGAAAGCGGACTAATTATGTCTTTAAGTCTCGCGAAAGCCTTGGTGAAGGGGGAGGCGCGACGAGCTGTTTTGCTCCAGAAACGATAAGAAACGCGACGAACAGCTATAGACTAGAAGTTAAAACGAGTCAAGTTGTTGGATAGTAGAGGTCAGAAGCCAGGCAAGCCACTAATCAGAGCTAACAGGGGATGGAGGGAAGAACGAGGGCGCATAACATACCACCATCTTCAGCCACAACGATCTCTATTCCCTAGGATCCATTTTCGAAGCTTGGAAATGTGACGGCCAAAGATGTGAGGGAGGATGCCATATGCCTCGTCGCAGCACACATGATACAGTACTACTGGCGAACTGAAAATGAGGAGCTGTGCTGTCGTTCTGGATTTCGCCTATATGGTAACCACATCAGGTACAGGATCTGCACCGTTGGACTGGCTCGCTACCGGAAGATGGGAACATTCGGACCTGTCAAGAATGTTTGCCAAGCCGACACCGTTCTTCGCGATTTGATTGGTTCTTAGAAGGTGCTAGTGCTGAGATTGGAAGTCTGACTGCCGCTACCCTTTTAGGAAGCGACCCGTTGTCTCCCAATTATCATCGGTTCATCTTCAAATGTATAAACCCAAACATGTTTTAACCATTTGTGATCTCAAGTCTAAAGATTTTTACAGAATATCACTCCACGGCTGTTTGCATTTATATTTCTTATATTCTATCAGTAGTCTGAAATATTATCATTGGTTTTTATTGCCGTATGCTTTCCATAAAGGTGACTCTTGTCATGCCCAAGATACCGAGTACGCCTGTATCGAGCTTGCTCGACTACCCATTTACCACGACTTCCCAACCTCTGCCGCTATAGGTGCTTCTCCTCCTTCCCGCCACTTGCGGCGCGCCATTCTCCCGCCATGGCTAGGAGCCGGGTGTTTAGCCATGTCGCGAGGCGGCTGGCGCTTGGCTTTACAGATCCCCACAGGCTGTCCGCGCCGCCGTCGTTCCCACAGTTAGCTCCTCGGGCCAGATCGGCGACATTGGTAACGCCTATTTCTCATTTCGCCAACGACTCGCACACATCTAAACTGCACACTCACTCTTCGCCCGTTCCCCCTATCGTCTATCACAAATACGCAACCTCCACCTCGATACTGTCACAAAATGCATCAACTCGCTTCCAACCACCGTCACTATCACACCCTCCCTTATCTCGCGGATTCGCCGGCATACTAGTCGAGCTGGGCCTGCTCCCTCCCCCTCCTGATCTCTCCGACGAGGAAAACCGGAAAAAGGAGGTGATTAAAGCCGTCCTTAGGCCCGGGTCGGGCAAGATCCAGGCTAAGAAGGAGCGGCGGCTCGGGAGAATACCGAGCATCGTTTTCGAGCAGGAGGGCGGCCATCTGGGCGGCCGGAAACGGCTGGTGTCCGTCGATCGGAAGCAGATCGGACGACTGGTGAGGAAGTTCGGGCGGCCGTTCTTCGTGTCGCAGGTGTTCGACCTCGAGATCGCCGCGGATGGCGCGGAGGGAGCGGAGGGGGAGGCGGAACGAGCGGAGGGGGGAGCGGAAGGAACAGCGGTAGATGTTGTCCGGATGAGAGTGATTCCGAAGCTGGTAGGTGGCTGAATGGGTCATACGCGACCATTGTTGGGAAGCTCTAGTTTTCCTCGATTCGTTGTTCCCTACGTCATGTGCTGCTTTCTTAGGGCCATCCACGCTGCGTCCATTGGTTGTTACGTGCCCTGCCTATCTATTCCCGCATCTCTAGCCTCCTTCTGAACCCCTTCCTTTGATCCCTGCGCGTGCTGTGTCACATTACACACGAAAATCCCCGCCCCTTTCTAAAGCGCACCTCTCCCCCTCTTCCCTCCCCCACCCCACCCCCCACCCCCTCCCCATTCTCTCTCCGCCCTGCTCTTTGAAAGATTCACTGGCATGGAGCTGTAGACGAGATTCACCATGTGATTTTCTCGTTTCCTCTGACCTCCCCTTCCCCCCCCCAACCCTCCCCCGCCCCGCCCTCGTTTCCCCCGGTACCCCCCTACCCCCAGTTCCGCCCACATTGGCATGGACACACACGAGATTCACAGTGTGTAATTCCTTCCCCCTACAACCCCCACTCCCACCCCATCCCCCTCCTCCTCTCCCCCCCTCCCCCCCCCCCCCGGGCCCGCTTCCCTGGTGCTGCCCTCCTCTCCCCCTGCTTCCCTGGTGCTGCCCTCCTCTCCCCCTGCTTCACTGGCATGGAGGCACAGACAAAATTCTCAACGTGAATTTCGTTCCCCCCATCCTCCCCCACCTCGAACCCCTTCCTCCCCACCCTCCCCCCATCCCCACTCCTGCTCCCCCCAGATTCACTGGCATGGGGAGGCACGGACGAGATTCTCAACGTGACTTTCGTTCCCCCTATCCCCCCTTCCCTCCTTCCGCCTGGTATCCTTCCCCTCATCCCATTCCGCTTCCCCCCAGATTCACTGGCATGGCGGCACCGACGAGATTCTCAACGTGACTTTTCTCCGGCTGCCCGAGAACGAGAGCTCACGAGTTAAAGTGCCCGTGCCGCTTGTGTTTGTAGGGGAGGATTCCTGCCCGGGCATAAAAAAGGGTCAGTGGGGCATGGCATGGTTTGGTTGGTATGGCATGGCATGGGCATGGGCATGGCATGGCATGGCATGGCATGGCAGGGTAGGAATGGCATGGCATGGCAGGGTATGGCAGGGTATGCTATGACATGCTGCTTTGTCCATTCCTGCATCCTTTCTTGAGCTTTGCCCCTCATTACCTCATAGCCTTATTCCCTCATAACCTCATAGCCTTATTCCCTCATTACCTCATAGCCTTATTCCCTCATTACCTCATAGCCTCATTCCCTCATAACCTCATAGCCTCATTCCCTCATAACCTCATAGCCTTCCTCACACTCCTCCCACTCAGGTGCTTGGCTCTACACCATGCGCCCCTCTCTTCCCTCCTCCTCTCCACCCCCTGTCATTGCCTTCCTCCAATATTTCCTTCCCTCAAATGTACACCCCAAATTTCCTCCTGTTTACCCCTCCCTCCCAGGTGCTCGGCTCCACACCATGGGCCGCACTCTACCCTTCTCCTGCCCCCCTGACATTCCCCTTGCTCCCCATCTTTCGTTTTTCATTCAATCGTGTTGTCTTGCTCCCTTCCCTTTCAACCACTATCAGGTGGTTGGCTCTACACCATGCGCCGCACTCTCCCCTTCTCTTGTCCCCCTTCCGCCATCCCCCCTTTCCTGGAGGTCGATCTCTCGTCGCTCGACGTGGGCCACAAGATCACCCTTGCTGACGTGGCAAGGCAGGTGGATCCACGGCTCAGATTGCTCCTGGCTGACGTGTCGCACCCTGTCTGCAAGATAGCTGGCAGCAGGTCATTGGCCAAGGAAGCATCGGCTGCTGCATAGAGGCAGTGAAGGATAGAACACAAGCACACACAACACAACACACGCAATGCGTCTTTTAGAAGTGTAAAACACTGACAGCAAAATCATAGGACAAGGATGTTAGAATGAGAGACTGAACTAGAATGGGAGAGTACAAGGCAATATAACCTAGAAGCTGTACCCTCTAAGACACAAACCTATACAGTCTATACAAACATAACAATATACCATATGTTTGACACACCCCCTAGACTGTATAGGAGCAGTTCCTAACGAGAACAAGCAGCTCAGGGTGGCACTACTAGTCCAACCTCTGAGGCAAGGGTCTAAAGACCAATCAAACGAGTACAGACACGAGCCAAAAGCAAAACTAGGGCGGCACTACTAGTCCAGCCACTAGAAGAGGCCACAAGGCCAGTTAGAATAAAATATATAAAAGGTCTGTACACAGTCAAGGCCCTAGTGTTAACGTAGAAACGAATGATTACTAGAGGTGGAAACCTAGAACAAATACTAGTTGGTTGTACTCACTAGAAGCATACCTCAGTCTAGCCTATAACTTCTACATAGATAATATGTATAAGTTGACACATCCCCTAGGCTAGACAAGGGGTGAAACTAAACAAGAAGCAAACAGCTCAGGGCGGCACTACTAGTCCAACCACTGAGGCAGGGGTCTGGAGACCAGTCAGCAAGAATACAACCAAAACTGAAGCAAGCCAGGGTGGCACTACTAGTCCAGCCACTGGAGGTAAGGCCACAAGGCCAGTCTGACAAGCATATATAATAGAGAGTACACAATCAGGATCCTAACAGGGGAGCAGCTACAGGAACAAGACCAAGCTGTACACAGTGCCGCTGATGATCTTTAGGCGCAAGCGCCTTCGTAAAGATATCAGCTGTGTTGGCACCTGAGGCCAAGTGAACTACGCGGGCCTGGCGGCGCTGCTGTAGCTCGCGCAGGAGGAAGTACCGCAGCTGGATATGCTTCGCTCTGCCCTCAAGCCGAGGCTCCTGACACAGGAGTATCATGGCCCTGTTGTCAGCGTACAGGACCGGGGCAGAGCTAGGCCGCTCACCTAAGTCTGTGAGCAAGAAGGTCAGCCAGCGGAGCTCCTGTGCCGCCATGGCACCAGCGTAGATCTCAGCCTCACAGCTAGACTGAGCCACAGACGACGAGCGAGTGGATCTCCAAGAGATAGCACCCGAACCAAGGCTGAAACAGTAGCCCTGCGACGACCTGAGCGTCTCAGCGTCGTCTGCCCAAGAAGCGTCTGTGTGCCCAGTAAGGACCACTGGCCTGCGTCCTCCTAGCACTAACCCCATGCCTGATGTACTAGCAAGATAACGCAAAACCCTCTTAGCGGCAGACCAGTGCTGAGGTCGGTGTCTGCCTGTAGCCACAAAGCGAGCCAGGATGCTGAGAGGGTATGCGAGATCTGGGCGAGTGCAAGTCATCAGTTACATGAGGCAACCCACCAGCTCTGCGTAGGGGCCACTGGGCTCTACTGGCTCCTCAGGAACGGGAGCAGAGAGCCCATGGTCTACGGGTAGAGGTGTGGGCTGTGCAGAGGAGAACTGAAGACCGAACCTCTGAAGGACCTGACGCACCAAGTGTGACTGGGTCAGAGTGATGGTGCGTGCTGCTCTGTCCCTAGAGATCTGCAGGCCAAGATAGCGACGCAGCTCTCCAAGGTCAGTGCAGGTGTGTCTCTTCAGCAGCTCAGCCTTCACAGAGGCCAGTGCGTCCCTGTCAGGAGTAGCGAAGACCAGGTCGTCTACGTAGACAAGGATGTAGAACGGAGTCTGGCCGGAACGCACAAACAGTGAAGGGTCAGCAGAGGACGGAAAGAACTGCAGGTCTGCTAACGTGGCACGTAGCGTGTCGTGCCACTCGCGGGGAGCCTGACGCAGGCCGTAGACCGGGCGCCTGAGAAGCCACTGGGTCCCAGGAGGGAAGGTACCAGTGAAGCCCTGTGGTCGGCGCAGGTAGACCTGCTCGTGTAGGCTGCCCTGAAGAAAGGCAGTAGAGAAGTCGAGGGAGTGAAGCTCGTAGTCACGCTGTGCTGCTACGTGTAGCAGCGCCCGAAGAGTGGTCATCTTCGGGGTCGGGGCGAAGGTCTGGAAGAAGTCAACCCCCTCGCGCTGACTGAAACCTCTGGCCACGTAGCGCGCCTTGAAGACAGGCGGCTCTCCAGGGGGGCGCTTCACCTTGAAGAGCCACCGACCATCGACTACGTTCACCCCAGGCGGGGGAACTGCGTCGACGTAAGTGCCGGTGGATCTCCAAGATGCCATCTCCTGCTCCATGGCAGCTATCCACTGAGAGGCCCAAGGTCCCGAGGTGGCCTCAGCGTAGGTGCGAGGGGTCGGGATGTCGAAGGCGTCTGGGTCACCCTCAGGGACTAACAGCATGGAGCAGAGATGGGGAGCAGCCTCGGAAAGGAAAGCCAGCTCGTACTGCCTGTCCTCTAGGACGTCACTGCCAAGGGCAGGAGCACCCCCGACGGACAGAGGACGGGCAGGGTCAGAGACCAGAGCGGTAGCGTAGTCAAGGCGGCGGGTAGAGGCGAAGTCAGCGACAGCAGCGACAAGCGCGTCAAGGCGCGAGACAGGAACAGCAGGGTCGGTAACAAGAGAGGCAAGGACCCGAGGGACAAGGGGACGAGCAGCACGGAGGTAGTCAGAGAACGGAGGAGGTGCAACAGCAAGGGACGAGGGAGGAGGGGACGGGAGGAGGGGAGGACGAGACGAGTGGGAACGGAGCAACATAGGGTGGGTGGGCAGGACAGGAGAGACGGGACGAGCACGGGAGGGACGGCGAGCCCAAACGTGAGACGGAGGGGTAGGGTCAGGGGACAGCGGAGGAGACACAGGAGGGGAACGAGGAGGAAGACGGGCCGGAGACGAGTCTGGCGGCGGGAACACAGGACCGTAGACAGGAAGGTCAGGAGGCGGTGGGGGAGACACCGGCGCGCGGTCCGGGGAGGGAAGGCCGAGCAGGCGGAGAGCGGAAACCGGCGGCGACGGCTGCTGCGGCGGCGACGACGGCTGGGCCGGAACTCTCGGACCAGCAGAGGCAGAACGACCGTCGGCAGAACACTCAACAGCAGCACCCCCAGAACCAACACCCCCAGAGCGAGAACCCCCTCCAACACCAGCGGCACCCCCAGAAGCCGCAGGACGAACACCCTCCTCCACACCAGCACCCCCAGGGGCCGAGAGCAGCGGCGGCAGTGGCGGCAACGGCTGCGGCGGCGGCGACAGCGGCGACGGCTGCGGCAGCGACAGCGGCGGCGGCGGCGACGACAGCGGCGACGGCTGCGGCGGCGACGGCGACGGCGGCGGCAGCGGGGTCGGCGACTGCGACAGTGGGGGCGGAGGCACCGGGGAAGGGGGACGCTGCAAGGACGGACCGGGGGAACCACCAGAGTCAGCAGACTCCTCAACGGGGACAACCGACGGGAGGGGAGTGACGTGGGAGACACCAGACGGGGCAGGACGAGGCGGGAGAGGGGCAGGGGCTACCGGGGGAGAGGGAGCAAGGAAAAGGGGGGGGGCAACTGGGAGACCTCGGTGAGGGAAGCGGCGGTAGAAGGAGACGGACTCGTCAAAGGTGACGTCACGAGAGTGGAGGAAGCGGTGAGACGGCGGGTGGTAGAAAAGCCAGTCAGACGAGTCCAGGGGGAAACCGAGGAAGACACAGGGGACAGTGCGGGCAGTGAGCTTGTCCGTGCCAGAGGCACGAACGTGAGCAAGGCAGCCCCAGACGTGGAACGCAGACGCGTCACCGGGGGACCCGGTCCAAAGGAGGGTCGGCGAAACCTGCGGCCGCTGGGAGCGTGGCCACAGGTTAAGCTGGTGAGCCGCGTAGCGAACAGCGAACGGCCACAGAAAATGGGGGGCATCGGCATGGATCATGGAGGTACGGGCGACCTCCATGACCAAGCCGATGCGGCGCTCAGCAACCCCATTCTGCTGTGGCGAGTCCGGCAACGTGTACGACTGGGTGATGCCCTCCGCACGACAGAACTGTCCAAGCCGACCAGAGGCGAACTCGCCGCCACGGTCGGAGTGGAGACACAACACGGGGAGACCGCGGTGGAGACGCGCAGCCACAACCCACGGGAGAAGAACGTCGGGCACGTCGGCCTTCCGCTCCAGGGGAAACACCGTGGTGTAGCGCGTGTAGTCGTCGACGAGCACAAGGAAGTAGCGCTCACCGCGCGGTCCGGGGACGGGGGCAGGGCCCCAAACGTCCAAGTGCAGGGTCTGAAGGGGGGCAGTAGCAGGACGCAGCGAGGAGGAGTGAGGAGCACGGCGGAGCCGACCCTCGACGCAAGGTGTGCACGGTGGCGCAGTCAAGGGAGGAAGGGCAGGGAGCGACGCGGGGAGACCTAAGACAAGACCGTGCTGGGACATGTGACGCAGACGCGGGAGAGCAGGGTGACCTAAGCGGTGGTGCCAGAGAAGGGAGGGGTGAGTGAGGGACCGACACGAGCAAGCTGCAGCGACCTGGGAGGACGCACCAACCGGGGGGGAAGCGGTGTGTAGGGTAAACAGACCGGACACCGGGTCCCGGGGGAACGTCGCAAGGGGGGAACCTGAGACAGCCTCAGAACAGACAGCGAACCGCTCGTGCCCGGGGAACGTGGTGGTGACGCCGAGGTCCTGGAGACAGCCGACACCAACCAGGTTCCTGGAGAACGAGGGAACGTGGAGGCCAGTAAGGGAGCCCGAGGGAACTGCCGGACAAGGAAGGGACGTAGAACTGCGCGCGACGACCGGACCCGCAGAGGGGTCAGCGAGAGAGACAACAGCAGGTGCAGCAAGCGGCGTGAGCGTGGAACGGTCGCGGAAGAAGCAGGCAGAAGCACCAGAGTCGAGAGTGAAGGACAGCGACGCAGTGGCGGAGGCCGGGGACGGAGCCGGTGCAGCGACTAGACTAGGCAACCTAGGCAGTCCTACGCCTGTCGCAGCAGGGGAAGCTAAGCTACACAAGGGTGAAACACCTAAACTAGAGTACACAGGGTAGTAAGATCCAGCAACACTAGAAGCGTCAGCATACAAAGCATGCAAAGCAGCACCTATCTGATCCATGTCTAACTCAAAGATCGGCACGCCCTGGCGGAGTAGGCTGTGCCAGTCAGGGAGGTCCGGGGCCGGGCCAAAGCGACGACGAAAAAGATCGTCGAGGCGGCGGAAACAGCGGGCGGTCGGGTG